AAAAATGTCTGGCAAAAAGACAACAGGGTTAAACCACCCACTACATGATAAAAAGGTAATCAAGATGACAACAGGTTTTTTTCCTTTAAATTTTCACACTTTGGGCAAGACTGTTCCATTCGCAGTGTACCCAGCACAGAACTGTAATATACAGGATCAACTATGTGATGCATTTGTAACCAACTGGCTCCAACAGCCACATACAATTTTCAAAAGATCATGATTTTATGTGCTGTAGATAAAAACATTACCTATCCCTCTGGCTCTTATAATTTATTCATTATTATCAGATCCCAACTTCTAGCAGGAGGGTCACAAATAAAATCTTTCATTCAGCAAATACTTTCTGAGGGCATTCTATGAGTTAGAACATGTACAACAAGCTGAGATTTAATAGTGAACCAAATAGACACAATCTCCATGCCTACAATCTTGCAGTGCAGAATAGGAATAAAATCTACAGCCATGCATGTAATTCAGTTCAGAAAACCAAGACCGCATTCATTTAACATTGACCTAAACTTTGCCTTCCTTCTCTCACTTCCTTCTCTGCCTCCCCTTCCTGCTCTCTCTTCTCTACCTCTCCCTCCCTCTCCCTCCCAAATTCGCAAAATCTTCCTATTTGATGATTATGATCTAAACAGAAAAGATGTCAAACATGCATAAAATAAGAGCAGGTTAAGAGGGGAAAAAGTGTATCTTCTAGGAACTGAAAACAATTTCACAATGAACATCTATAACCCAAGGCAAGCATTTGGGACAACTTGTTTTACAGACCTGAAGACAAATTAATATTAAATGGTGTGGCCCATGTACTACTGAAAGAAATATTTAGTGAATTCATGAATATTAATCAAAGCAAATATAATGTACTTTTCACCTAGAAAATACATAAAAACAGCAGTAAAGTTAAAACAGAGCATGCTTTTGTATGTCTATGTAGAATACAAAGTTTCCTTAGGTGTCAAAGAAAACAATCACTAAAGTAAATAAATTAAGAGAATAATTTTAAGAAAATATGAACTCAGAAATTAAGAAGATATTCTTAAGGTGGTAGATTTCAGGGTTCATTTTTAAAAAGATTAAAAATTAAAATATGCAAGTACTGCAGAATAAATTTGGAAGACATTACCATAATGGCTGGATATGAATCAAAACAGCACAAATTCTACTGCCACACTTCTGTGTCGTCAGCCAAACACTACTTTCCTTCTCTAATTCCTCCATATTATTAATATATATTAAATAGTTGTGTGAACAAATGCAAGGGTACACACATTTATCCCTACCACACAATTCCTTTAAATGCTGCCATGTCTTAAATTAAAATTTACTTTGAAAATAATTTTATCTTGCATTTCATTTACTATAAGGTTGATTCCTCCATTTAAGTAGGTAGTTTAAAATACCAGATCTTTAGACACTCTGAGAGAACACATTCTGTAACCCCCTCCCTCGGGGTAGGCTCTGTGTAAATGAAGGAAGGATCGGGAAAATTCAGGGTACTCATCAGAGCAGCACAGCAGAAATCCCTCTGCCGGAAGCCGCCCCGTTACCCTTCCCTGCTCAGCTCAGCCCTCGGCTCCCTCCTGGACTCACCCACCATTCACACACAGGCACACATCTACATTCAGCACCTATCTTTACCACGTGAGTAGTGTGGGCACTGCACTGGTTAAGTCACAAAAGCCACACGCCTAGAACATGAAGTAGGAATTCCTAACGATGTGTGAGGATCAAGCTTCTGTCAGAGAGATGCATTTTCAAATGGCACTCATGAATGTAGATGCTCAATTAATATCCTATTTTTCTACCACTTCTAATGGGCCATAGTATGGGGATGAGGTGGGCCATATGAAACCCTACTGAAATGTCTAATAAGAGCGAAGTCTCCACACCACCACCACGTAAGCTGTGAAACTGTACCTTACATTTTTCTTTCCTCAGAAAATGATCTCCCGGTTCATTCCATAAAAGCACAGCACAGGGCATGTAATTAAGCCTCTATGGAAGTGTTCTTCCCTCTTGGGCATTCAAACCCAGGCCCTCTGACAAAGCCCCTGTGCTAAGGCACAGCTGCTGGGAAACCCAGAGCTGTCATAGTTCAGGCCAACAGAGCTGACTGCAGAGACCTTAGACGCCCTGTTCACAGCTAAACAGAAACAAATAAAGGCAGTAAACAGGGCAAAAGGAAAAGAAAACCCAGCTCTTCAAACAAGTCTCTCTTCACCACATGTTTTCTCCCCTGAATTCTGTATTTAAACACCTTCCCTTGTTCTCTCCACTTTCTTCTCAATCCCGAGAATTCAGAAAATGTTCAACCTCCAAAATGAGAATAAAATTTAAAAAAAATATATTTTTTTAAAGAACCTCACTTTCCAAGCGCAGTGTTTCCCTCCCCCGGCTTCACGGCCTCAAGCCCACCTCTTCCCCCCAGCCCGCTGCCTTCTGTTCCTTTATGAACCTGTGTACATTTGTCTAACAGGGCTTCAGAAGGAAGACACACAGCCCGGCGAGCAGAGTAGCCATTCGTAAGTACGGGTGGCCCTGTTATTTTGTTCCTGTTTGCAAAGGATCCAGTGCACGAGCAGTTGAGTCCCCAAAGACAGTTGGTTCTCCAGCAGATGGAATGCTCAAGATAAGAGAGGGAATACAGGCTTCTGCCACCCGAACTGCCCAGACCACACTCTCTCCTGTCGGAGACGCGCATTTATTATGCACACACAAACACGCAGAACACAAGTGCAGACGTCCTCCAGGCCTCTGCCGACCACAATAGCTCCGGGTGCCCTCACGCTGGCTTGTCTGTGAACCCTGGTGGCCTGATTCCGAGCATTCTCTCGGAGGTAATCATCCATAGACGCCTATTCGAGAGACGGCATTCTCTTGCTAACTTCGCGTGAAAGCAGAACGCGGGGCTGTTGATTCAGAGACCAGAGGGAAATTTTCCTTTGCAGCCCTGATGCCCAAGACACTACAATGCTGTCCGTTTCAAACAAAAGGTTTCTCTCTTTCCCCCGGAGAGGGACGGAAAGGCTGCGGTACTGTTGTGAATTCAGGCCTAGATCTGGGATGCCTCATTAGACAAAAGATACCCGTCGCTGTCAACAACCACGCCAGCCACGCTCCCCTCGCCCCGGTCCTAATCCGGAAGGAATGGTGCAGCCGAGAAGCACGCCTGCCACCATCCACTGGCCAAGAAACTCTGCTGGGCCCCTCCTGTGGGTGGCCTGGTGGCTGCAGAAGAACACTCGGGTGACACACGGGGGCTTGCCCGCCCTCCCCGCCCCCACCCCACGAACCCCTGGCTGGGGAGGGTCGACCCCTGCTGGGCTTCTAGTTTTCACCCCTGGGGATCCCACTCGCCAGTCTGCCCACCGGTGGCTCCCCCACTTCTCCTGGACCCCAGAACGCACCGATAATGGATGCACAACGGCCACCTCACGGCGCGCCATCTCCCCCCCGCCCGCCCGCGCCCTGTGCCCCGGCTCGGCTCGCCACCCTCCGGTCGACATACGCGCGCACACACACACACACACACACACACACAGCTCCACCACCCCTGGGGGCGCGGCGGCCCCGGCGCTGCAAGTTCAAGCCCTCAGCCCACCTTCCCAGCCCCGCGCCCCTAGCCAGATCTGATCTGCCATTGAGCAGAGACACCGCAGAGAACGCAAGCCCCCCCCACAACAAGGGACACACAAGACAGCACGCGCCGAGGCACCCAACAAGGCAGCCCCGAACCCTCCGCGCGCACGGGCGTGTGTGTGCGCGCGCGCGCGTACCCGCGCGGGTGCGGGTGGAGGCCGGGGGCGCGCCCGGGGAGGGTAGGGGCGAGCCCGGGGGCTGGGGGCGGCTGCCCGGAGGGGCCGGAGGCGGGGGCTGGGGGCGCGCAGAGGCCCGGGGGAGGGCCCGCACGGCCGGCCCGGGCCGTACTCACCCAGTAGCAGCAGTTTGAGCTCCCGGCGGGCGTCCCGCTTGTCCCTGCGGAGCTGCCGCTCGATCTCGTCGTTGATCCGCCGGGCTTCCTTGGCCTCCTCGCTCAGGCAGCACGCCATGATGGACTCCAGAGTCATTCTTCCAAAGTGCCTCCGCTGCAGCCCCGCCGGCACCCCCTGCTCACACGCGCGCACACACACACCCTCCCGCCCTCGCTCCCCCGAGGCAGCGGTGGCCGCTGAGCCCCCGCCGCCTGGGCGCGCGTCCGGGATGAGATCGCGGAACCGCCGCGGGGGCGACGGCCAGGGCCGGGGCCACCAGGTGGGCCGGGGTCTAGGCGGGCGCAGGAGGCCTTCGCCGCCCGGCGGAGCGAGGCGGGCGCGGGAGGCGGCCGCGGGCGCTGGCTCGGGGGGCGCGCAAGGGAAGGCCGCCGCGCCCGGCCTCGCTCAGACGCCCGCGCCTCCTTCCCCGGGAACGGGCAGCCCGCCTCGCCCCCCGCGCCGCCGCCGAGGCTCCCCTACGGTTTGCGCCCGGCGGCGAGAGCACATCCACCGGGGCGCCCCCCTAGCGAGCGGCCGCCGACCGCTCCCCGCACCCGGCGCGCCCGCTCCTCGCCGCCGCCTGACACGGCTCCCGGGCGCCCGCGGCCCTGCCCGCGCCCACCGCCCGGCTAAGCGCGCAAACCCCGCTCGCCGGCCCGGCCCGCCGCGCGCTCCTCCGCCTCCGCCTCCGCCTCCGCCTCCGCCAAACGCCCACCCCCGGCCCCGATTGCCAGGCGCGGAGCGGCTGCTCAGTGATCGCCCTCCCCCTCGCCACACACACACATTTTCTTCTTTCTCTGAACTGGAGCACAGATCCGGGAGGGAGGCGGCGGCGGCGGCGGCAGCGGCGGCGGCGGGAGGAGGCGGAGGAGGAGGAGGGGCAGGAGGCGGAGGCGGAGGGACGGGCGCGGGAGGCGGAGCCGCCCGGCCCCTCTTGGAAGGCTCTCCCTGGGCTCGCAGCCGCGCGCCGCGCCGCCCAGTGCGGCTCTCGCCTCGCTCGCGCAGCTCCCTGACTGGGCCGGCCCCCTCAGGCTCCGCGGGCGCCGCCCTCTCCCGCGCCCTCCGTGGAGGCCGGCGGGCTCCGGCGGACGCAGCCGCCCTCGGCTAGGGGCAGGGCCCGCTGACAGCCGCTCGGGTTGAGCGGGCGGCTGCGACCGCGGGCCGGAACCCCGGCAACCTGCGGCCGCCCGGGCGTGGTGGAGCGGGAATATGGCGGCCTCCGCCTGCCTCTCAGCCCACCAGCCCCGGAGCGCCGCCTCGGCCCCGCCTGGAAGCCGCGGGAGTCGGCCCCGAGCCCGTGCACCGGCTGGCGCCGGAGACCCCCTGCCCGGCTCCCCGCTGGCAGCGCCGGAGACCCCCTGCCCGGCTCCGCGAGGCCGCTGTGCGGTGGCCTCTGTCTTTTCCCGAGGTTATTCCTCAAACGCCATTCGGTTAGAAGCTGCCTCTCGTCACTACTGACCCCAGTTGAATCTTAGAAAATACGATTCTCTCCGGGTGGGCTGTGGCCAGAGAGGAGTGGTCACTGCCTCCCCGAGGGGTAGGGGGCGAGGACCCTGCAATTCACTTGAGATAGAAATCTGAGCAGAAAAATGAAGCTGCCCAAGTTGCCGGGAGCTTCCTGGCAGGCTCCAACTTTTCATGCTGTTGAGGTGATTTTGGTTTTGGTTTTCTGTTGTTCTTGTTTCCGTTTTACAGATGCTCCTCGTTTTTGAAAAGGCACGCGATGTTTTCACAGCCAAGTCACCGAATGTCCCCTGCTCCACCGAGATGGAACTTATGGGTGGCTTCTGGGAGCATGTAAATCTGTGCGGGATGAAAGAAAAGAATCAAAAAATTTAAATGGGAAAATCAAGATTTGTTTCTAGGTTTTTTTTTTTCTTATTTTTCCTTTTCCACTTCCGGTTAAGTTTATGTAAAAGTGTTGCGTATGTGTTTCGTGGTGATCTTCCCGATAAGTAACAACAAGAAGTTTGCTCCTTCAGGCTTGATTTGGCCTGAAAGCTGCAAAAAGCCAAGCTCTTCCGCCTCCAGCCTTGATGGAAACCGAGGTCTTCAGGGTAAATGGTGTTTTCTGAAGAGAATCGCTGTTCCATGTTTGCTGGGAGATGCTCCTGGTGCCACGGCTGTGCTACTGCTGCAGGCCAGGAATGCACCCTGGGTTCATGGACACCAGGTGTGCGACTTCCTTCCTTCATTTATCATTTCCTCCAGCCCTTCACACACACTCCAAGCCAGCACTTAGATTAAGCAAGCCATCAAAACATAAAATCTATATTTTTAAAAAGGATTTTTGGCCAAGGAAAATGATTGAGTTTCACCTTGGCCAGGAGAGTAGAATGAGCAAATTTATACGAATGACTACAAAGAACCACTACACTTGCTATGGAATGAAAATTTAAATATCAGTGACAAAAGAAATGAAAAGAATGGCATTCAATATGCAGTGATGTAAAATGGCTTCACGGGAAAACCTGATATGGTTGTATCCTGTAATACATGGATATATGTGAGTAGGAGAAATACAAAACACTGGAAACCAAATAGCTCTCTTGAGCTTCAAATTGGGTTTCCTAGCCTAGTGTCCTCTGAGACTTGAAAATGTCTTTCAAAGTGTGCCAGAAAACTATCAGAAGACTATCAGTACATTTGACCTATTGCTTGATGAAAGAAATTAAACTGCTTCAACAGATCTCAGATATAAACTTTTGTCATCCCCTATTCTCAGCATCAGAGACATACCCTGGCTGGCTGTTACTAGATATATGAATTGTCATGACAAGTATTAGGAACAAATCAAGAAGTGAGGAAAACCAAAACTCTAGTGATAAAACAATGTCTAGGTATCAAGAAGGAAGCAGGAAAAGAAAGTCCTATTCTGAATGCAGATGAATCCAAAAATTCTTTGATATTATCTGGAAAGCATGTGCCTAGCAAATATTCCTACAACCAAAATCAAACAATCCATGCAGAAATTACTGATGTTGACTCTGTCCTAGAAGCGTTAGGGAACTAAACATGGATCCTATTACAAAAGTCCAGGTTTTTAATCAACAAGCATTTACTCATTACCTACCCTGTATCAGTAACTAGTGGTGAAGGTCCAAGAAGACACGCCTACTAAGATAAGATATGGTCTTTACCCTCAGTAGGCTTAATAGTCTAAAGGAATAATGAGCCTCTGAACAGCCAAAATGAAACACAAAGTGAAGTCAGGTTGTATTAAAGTTGTGATAGAAGTCACAATGTAAAGAAAGAAAAAGGAAGGAATAATTCCTTCTGTCCTCCCAGGAAAGGGGACGTTTGTACTTAAAAGAACAAGTAGATTTTCCAGAAATACATATCACATAAAAGCAAATTAGCAATAGACAATAGACCATTTTGAAAATTCAGGGCAGTTACCAGAGACCTCAAAAGCAAAGAACAAAACAGTAAGAGCATTGAACTTTAGGGGGAAAAATGGTAAAACCTTCACGTCTATGGTGCCCTGAGAAGGACACCCACCCCCACAAGCACATCACTGTGTCCCTAGGGGACTGGAAAAGAAAACAAAAAAGGCATAGTTCAGTCTCACACAGTGGTTTTGCTCTTCTAAAGGCATCTCCTGGGGAAGAAAACCTGTAGGGGTAATCCAGACACGCCTGTGGGGATGCTTCATCCTTATCTCTCAGCCCCCCTCACCTCCTCCCTCCCTCCCCTTCCCTCCAGGATCAGGAGCCGCTTGAAAGCCTGGACTTCAGCTTTCCTGACACCCAAGAGCGTGCCTAGCCGAGAACAGATCCTCAGTAAGTGATGGATAAACAAAAGAATGCCACTCACCTACATCATCCACAAACACGCTCGCAGACTGCCAGTGCAGGCAGTGTCTTATGCCAGATGCCCGAGGCATACAAAGTCGTTAAAGACTCTATAATCTATTTGGGCAGACAGTCCTCATGCATAAAGGAATACTCCACAGACTGCAGAGTTCAGGAGGAGGACCAGTTACATAAGCCACCATTCAAAGGAGGGTGGGAAGGCACATGATGGTCCCCTGAGAGACAAATTAGGGGGCAGGCGTTTGGTACAGCACGTGAGTAGACACTTGGGATGCCCGTATCCCGTATTGGAGTGTGTGGTTGGAATTCCAGCTCTTTGACCTCCCTACCCAGCTTCCTCTTAGTGCTTACTTTGAGAGGCAGTAGGTGGTGGCTCAAGGGCTTGGTCATCGCCCACCCATGTGGCAGACACAGATGGAGTTCTGGGCTCCTGGATTCAGCCTGGTGGGCTTTTGGAGGGTGAACCATGGAAGATTCTCTCTCTCTCTCTCATGTGCCTGCCTTTCAAATACAATGAGAAATTTTTAGAAAGACCAGCTGGAAATCAACCTGAAGCACCGCAGGTCCTACAAGAGCTGGGAACTAGCAGCTCTGTGCAGGCCTTGCAGGCACAGCTGCCTGTCCAAGGTATACAAGGGGCTTGGTGGAGATGTAGGCCCAGAGAGGCTCAGAGAGCTTCAAATGGCGCCACCTAGGGGAAAATGTTCGAAAGAGCTAAAAGATGATTCTTTAAGCAGAGCTGCCCAGATGAAAGGGTTTCAGGGCCAACATGTTGAAGATAAAGAACTAGAACCACAATGTGTTCTTCTGAAAGAGAAAACACCCTCCAAATCCACCTAACGGATATACTTGGTGAAGTAGAGAACTTCACTGACATCTTTCTCCTACCTTGTGCATGAAATACATACAGGTGATTTCTCTGGCTCTTGTCAAGTAACTATTTCATGCTTATGCAAGATCAACTTTATTATGGGTTGTATTGTACTTCACAGATGGAAGACCATTAAGACCCCACTAGATCGTAAGTCCCTAAAAGGCTGGTCTAATGGGAGTTATAATTAATGAGCAAATGAATGGATCTGTACTAAAATAAAATAGTAAAACATCAGCAGTCAGTTCACCAGAAGTGATCCTCACCCCCTTGAGACCTAAAGGATGAAGGATGACTTAGCTAGTACAAGAGTTTACATCCAGGGACCAGCGCTGAGCCATAGCAGGCTAAGCCTCCGCCTGTGGCACCGGATTCCATATAGGCGCAGGTTCATGTTCCAGCTGCTCCTCTTCCAATCCAGATCTCTCCTATGGCCTGGGAAAGTTGGGCCCCTGCACCTAGGAAAGTAGTGGAAGAAAGACCAAGAATTTTGGCCCCCACACCTGCATGGGAGACCCAGAGGAGGCTCCTGGCTCCTGGCTTCAGATCGGCCCATCTGTAGCCATTGGGGCCATTTGGGGAGTGAACCACCAGATGAAAGACCTTCTCTCTGTCTCTCCCTCTCTCTGTCTGTAACTCCACCTCTCAAATAAATAAACAAAATTTTTTAAAATTACATCCAGCCCTGGATCTTACTACTAGTAGGGATCACTTTTCCCCCAAGACTCTCTGACTTGACTAAACTCCAGACTAAGACCAACAGTGTAAACAGGTAGGCTTTAGCCTGCATAAATATTGCTTTTGATTCAATGGTGTTATTGAAAATGTAGATTAACTGCCAAAAATTTTTTTTGACAGGCAGAGTGGACAGTGAGAGAGAGACAGAGAGAAAGGTCTTCCTTTTCCATTGATTCACCCCCCAATGGCCGCCGCACTGTGGCTGGCGTACCGCACTGATCTGAAGGCAGGAGCCAGGTGCTATTCCTCGTCTCCCATGCAGGTGCAGGGCCCAAGCACTTGGGCCATCCTCCACTGCACTCCCGGGCCACAGCAGAGAGCTGGCCTGGAAGAGGGGCAACCGGGACAGAATCCGGTGCCCCGACCGGGACTAGAACCCAGTGTGCCGGCGCCGCAGGCTGAGGATTAGCCTATTGAGCTGCGGCACCAGCCCCAAAATTTAAATATTAAAAGAGAGTCACATAACTATCTGAATTTCAGTTCTTCATTTAAGAACTGACCCATAATCCCAGATGGTACCTTTCCCACCAGTCTGATGTACTCTCCATTTTTATATCAACTGTACCCATTAATCTTTCTCTTTTAGTAACATACAGTACCTTTGGATATTGGAGTTGGGCTTCTGATGGAAGGCAGCAGGAAGAGGACTACAGTTTGGAATTAATTACATCAGATTAATCAAGGCAATTGACTTATTTCCCACATTTCTAAATCAAATAATCATTTCTCCCATTACACTCATATCCCTTTGATGATTTCTCATGTAAAGCTCAAGAAGGCCAAGATTTTTGTTTGCTTTGTTCACTCCTAGAACAGAGTGTGGAGTGTATTAGATGCCTAATGAACACTTGTTAAATGAATGAAAATTAGTTCTTCCAATATAAGAAGGCACATTGTTGCCACATGGCTGTCTCCTCTCCTCCACACCCCTTTAGCCAGATGGTACCCAGCAAAGCTTGGCTCCCTCCATAAAACATTATTCAGTCCTGTGCTACAAAATGCAGACTCAGATGAGTTTACCAAGGAATATTAGCAATCACTAGGGCATCAAGAAAGCAAGGGTGCAACATTGTTATTCAAACCCCTATGGAAACATGTGCTAGTGCCACCTAAACCAGTCTTACAGAAAAGGTAATATTCTTACCCCAAATCCATGTCAAGACACATGCATGTCATACATCAGAAATTATGCCATGGATGTATAGACAAGTTATGAAATCTCAGTGTGTGATCAATTAGTGAAACATAATACACACTGATGGAAAACACATAATTAAAGTGGCTGCCATTCTGCCCTCCCAATGACTGAGATGGTCCTCATATTAACCTACTTAACATTTTGAAAATTTGTCCTTCATGGATTTTTTTGCATTAATTTTGACTTCTAAAGTATTCTATTGGGACCAGCACTGTGGCATAGTGGGTAAAGACACTGCCTGCAGTGCCAGCATCCCATATGGGCAGCGGTTCGAGACCTGGCTACTCTACTTGCGATCCAGCTCTCTGCTATGGCCTGGGAAAGCAGTAGAAGATGGCTCAAGTCCTTGTGCCCCTGCACCCACACGGGAGACCTGGAAGAAGCTCCTGGCTCCTGGCTTCGGATCAGTGCAGCTCCTGCTGTTGCGGCCAATTGGGGAGTGAACCAGCAGATGAAAGACCTCTCTCTCCTTCTCTGTGTAACTCTGACTTTCAAGTAAAATACATAATAATAAGTATTCTGTTAAAATATTATTTATCTTAATTGTTGAAATTTTCTTGATGCTCTGTTAAATTTTTTACACAAGTGCCTTACCCTATCTGGACCTTGGTACTGAAGGTGTACAGGAGTTGAACCAGCAGGTGGAAGCCCCCTCCTCTCCGTCTCTACCTCTCTCTGTAACTCTCTCAAATAAATAAAATAAATCTTTAACAAAACAAGAAAATTATGAGAAAAATGCGAACGTTACTATGGTTTTTTAGCTTAACTACTTGACCTTCATTAAGAAGAAAAGACCAGCAACTAGAGCCCTAAGGAGCCATGTGATCCAGGGAATTTCTTTAAATCCAGCAATCATAAATTTAAAAAAATGATTTATTTATTTGAAAGGCAGAGTTACAGAGAGGCAGAGGCGGAGAAGGAGGGACGAGGAGAGAGAGTGAGAGAGCGAGACAGTCTTCCATCCGCTGGTTCACTTCCCAAATGGCTGTAACAGCAGGAGCTGGGCTGATCCAAAGCAGGAGCCAGGAGCTTCTTCCAGGTCCCCCACATGGGTTTGGGCCATCCTCCACTGCTTTCCCAGGCCATAGAAGAGAGTTGGATCGAAGTAGAGCAGTTGGGACTCAACCAGGCACCAACATGGGATGCCAGCGCCACAGGCAGCAGCTTTGTCTGCTAAGCCACAGCACCATCCCCTCAGCAATCATTTCTTAAAAATAAAGCCCAACTGGGAAACCAATCTAGGGTTAAAGTGCAAATGTGCTGATAAGGGGACACAATCCACAGTCATCCCCCACACTTCTTTCCCTTTCCTTTTCCCTGGGGACATTTAAAAAAAAACCTCTGAGCTGGCCGGCGCAGTGGCTCATT